CAGCAAGCAGACTGTGGGTAACACAAAACCAAGTGCAGGAAAACTGAAGCAAGGCTATTGGAATCCAGTAGGAATGAGTCAGAGAGGTAATAAGTCAAAACCAGGGTGACAAGCCAGAGTTGGGACCTGTGTGGTCTAGCGCAAGTAGAAAAGTCCAGAACCCAAGAAGAAAAACAAAGACATGTGCCAGAGGGCACAACAAGTCCAAAGTCCAGGTAAACAGAACAGAAACCTGGAGATCTAGGAAAGATAGAAGACAGATGAAAAGACCAGAAAAGTGGGTCTACCCTTCAATTTAGCCCCTGTAGGGAGACTTTTTGGTTAAAAAGGGGTGACACTGAGAATACAGGGTAGCTTCTGAGCTTACACTGAGCTTGACACTAATAATCAGTGGAAAAGGGATTTAAACCAACTCTCCATATTCCAGTGGGCAGACAATAAACTGGCTCAGCTGATGGACACTCACCTGGATGAACTGATGATAATGAGATCTCCCTGTTTGCCAACTTCCAAAGATCCATGGGTGTGAGATTTTCCCAGGGCGTAAGCGGCATTGATGGTGGCAGCGGCCAAGGCCTCGGGCATGGACATCCTCATGTTTACACAGGCCAGATGCATGACCACTGGCTGAGGTGGGAAGAGAAGAAAGTTGGAGAAAAGTAAAAAATGGCAGCTGTTACCTAGGACACTTCTCGACACAGCACAACAAACAATGACTGTTAAAGGTGTAAGTGGAGCTGGCTAAATTAGCATGAGAAAATTTAAATTTACACATAGAGGCTCTTATGCTTTGGAAAAGATTCCTTTGTTATAGGGATTACCTACCCACTGTGTCTAGTTCATGTTTATAACTTCTTTTATCCTTTAAAAAATTTTTTTTAATTTTTATTTTTTACTGAAGTATAGTTGATTTACAATGTTTCAGGTGTACAGCAAAGCAACTGGTATACATACACATACATATATATTTTTCTTTTCAGAATCTTTTCCATTATGTTATTACAAGAAATTGAATACAAGAAATTGAATATAGTTCCCTGTGTAATGCTTACAACTTTTCAAAGCCACTTACTGTGTGAGGTGAAGCTCACCTCCACTCTTACTAAAACTTCCTAACACTTCTTTGAGCTTCTGCAATTCTGAGAGGGGACATAGGCTGTTGTAAAACCGCAGTGCCCAAGGCTGCATCAAAGCCTAACAGAACCTTCTCTCCTCTCCCTATGCCTGGAGGCATTCACCTTAGGTAGAAATAGCCAATTACACTGCTGCCTGCATACTTTTCCTTGTTTCACAGGAAAATATTTTTAGATCTTTGATATGTTTTAACAGGTAGTCAAGTATTTTTAAATTAGTTATATGCTTGGTAGAAGTTTGACAGCTCAGAAAGGCACATTAAAAATAATTACCATTGAAAAGCAATATGCATTAGGGTTGAAATCGCTGCCCAAAGCAACTATTACCCCTTCATCTAACATCTTCCTGGCTCGAGGTTGCTTCAGTCTAAGGAGAGGGAAAAACACGACGTCAGTCTCTAGAAGTGGAACTTTTGTAGAAGAGACATTCAGAATGGACGCAGACTTAAGATTTTAAGATATCCAACCCCTTTGTGTCCAGGAAGAAGAAACAGAAACAGAAACTCCAGGGCTAAGGGGTTGGTGGTGAGGTCAGGCAGAACCCCAGGAGTCCTGACTTTTACCATTCTGTTTTCGAAATCACTTGGCTCTAACTTCTTTACTTTGGGATTATCATGCCCATCTTTATATATATATTCAGAGATCTTGCGAAGGCAGGAAGAAAAATTGTTTTCAAATGTAATAAACTTTTCTTCGACTCCCAAATATAAACAAACAATGAGGTTTAAATAATGCTTTTTAAATTAACTTTCATGTAAACATTTTTTATTCATATCTCTCCCTCTCCTTTTTTCTTGGGGTGGGGGCAGGGTCTCAAACATTTTTGTAGGTCCTTTAAAATCTTGAAGGCCCAAGAGTCTAATATGTAAACTGTTCGTGCTTCTTCCTAGATTGGGCTTCTCCCTGACCTCCTTGGCCAAGTATCATTTATTCTTTGAGACATGACTCAAACGTTATGTCAAAGATAACAGAGCTAGATAACAGTTAAAGTGGTGAGGACAGATTTTATTCATTAATAATTATTACAAAAGGGACAAGAATCCAGTGTGAAATGAACTCAACTTTGCTTTATGCAGTGGTAACTGGAAGTTTTAAAGGGATAATGAAGGAGTCTTGAAGTGGGGCACAGAAATCACAGAAGTGGAATTTTCCAAAAAGCTGGAGGGCACTCGTCAACATGATCTGGGTTAATTGGTGCTTCTGTGGAGAAGAAACAAACTTCTCTATCTTTATGACAAGACGCAGTGGTTTAAGTTAGGCAATGTGTCCACCAGGCTGGGAACTCCTTAGAGAGTTATCTCCTGGAAGGTTTGTTTTTCAAAGAGATGGCTCTCAGGTCCTTGGGAAGATCCTAGGTGGTAGAAGATTTACATCTCAAAGGAGAGAAAGGATTTATAATTTGTAAGCTTTTTAAAATAACAGCTCTAAGAAGAAGCTCAGGGGCCTATCTGCCTATCACTAGGTTTTACTGGGAACAAACTTAATTTTCCTGGCAGGTTGGCTTTCTGAGACAGGCACTCTAAGGGGGTCTGGGCTCATTCTAGGGATGCAGCCTTCAGCTGTTAGAAACTATGCTAAAAACAAAACAAAAACAAAAAAAAACTCCTAACGTTGGAGGAGGTGGGTGAAAGAAATCATTTCTGCTGATTCTGCAGGCTTCATAGGCAAGACTGAGGCTTAGTGGAGAGAAGGGCTCAGAGGAACCTGAGTAAAGTTTGATCAAGGAGAGACTTCCTCCGGGAAGCCGTCTCGGTCATCCCTGTTGGCCCTCACCTCCTCTGGCTCCCCCAGCACCCCATACTCCTGCATTTTAGAAACAATAGTTATTGTTTCACGACAGCAACAGTGGACTAGCATTTAGCCTCTACAAACCTGTACTGCCCAGGCGTGGTTTGTAAAAACGCTACTGAGGGTAACCGTGGCCCCTCCTACTCTATTTCTGGCCTTATGTTCAATTTGATTGGTTGGTGCCCTTGCTCAGCCAGTGGTAAAGCACCTGCCTCTGCTGCTGGGGAAGTCCGGCAGAGGCTACGGATCCCTGAAAGGATTATTTCTCTTTCTTATAATTTGTCCCAGGACCAGCTCTGTTTCTGGCTAATTAATATTTTCACTTGAATGAGTGAATGATAATGTTAAATTCTAGGGGTGTACTGAATATGGCAATGAATTACAGCTGTGAGCGTAAGAGTTAGATTCGGGGTTGGGGGGAGGTACAGCTCAGTGGTGGAATGCATGCCTAGCATGCATGAGGTCCTGGGTTCAATCCCCACCCTGCACCTCCATTTAAAAAAATAAATAAACACTTAGTTACCTAATTACTTTCCTGCCAAAAAAAGAGTTAGTTCTAATCATGTTTTATATGAAGTTCACCTAAGTCTGGAATTTGCAGCCCCCAACAAACTGAGCCCAACTTTCTTTCAGGGCCTCCTTTCTGATCCCTGCCTACCCAATACTATACTCCAGCCACTGGGGTTTTCTATTTGTGCATTTCTGAGTCTGCTGTTCGCCTTCTCTAGAGTACCCACCTCACCCTGAAGTGCATGCACACTCCCATGCCCAGCTCATATCTCACCCACCCACGCTCACTTTCCCAGGTCACTCAGCTGGAAGTGACAGTCCTCTGCAGAATGTCTGTAAGTCTTACTATCTATTCATTTATCATGTTTCAAATGCTTAGACTGCAAGTTCCATGAAGGACTGTGTGTGTCCTACTCACCACTGGATCTCCAGTACCAGCACTGTACCTGGTATTAATAGCTGATTAATTAAGTTCTGTTAAAGGAATTCTTTAATTTTAACTAGTATATTTTTACTGCGCTCCTGTTTTATTTTATTCTCAAAATACATGAATTTCTTTGCAGCCTCAGTAGAAAAAAAGTATGGTATCTTACATATGGGGCTCAATAAAACTTGCCTGGTCATTAATTCAGACAATCATTCTAAAACTATCTAATTAGTGAAAACTGTGTGCCAGGCACTAATACATTAGAGTCATCCTTGAGTCATCTCTCACAGTCCACATACAACCCATCAGAAAGTCTTGTTGGCTCCACCTTAAAACTATATCCTGAATTCAACTCAATTTATACCTCCCTGCTACCACCTTGGATCCAAGTCACTATCATTTCTTACAAGGATATTTGTAAGACCATCCTAACTGGTTTTCTACTTCAATCCTCAACCTCTCTAAAATATATTCTCTACCTCACAACCAGAGGGATCTTTTAGAAAAGTAAGTTAGATCATGTTACTGTTATTTTCCAAACACGCAGTGGCTTGCCATGGGCTTCCTGTCTGCACCATGAACTCGGTCCTCCAAGATCTGCTGCTCCTTCTGGCTTCCTCTCCTGCCTCTCCCTGCCTGGCTCATGCCTCTCTGGCCTCACTCTTGTTGTTGGTCAAACACATGCAGTGCATCGCTACCACCGCACATACCATCCATTCGTCCAGAACACTCTTCTAGGTCCCCCTGCTCCTTCCCCTGGTGTGCCTTGCTCCCTCACTTCCTCTAGGTCTCTGCTCAAATGTCCCCTCCTTGGAAAGACTTCTCTGACCTCCCTGAAAACACAGCACCCTCCCTGCAAACACCCTCTCCTTTTGCCTCACTTGGATTTTTTTTTCATGGTACCGAGCATCTCCCAACATTTTATATGTTCATTTGTTGGTTTGTGCATTGTCTGCCTTTCCCTGTTAGACTGTAAGCTCTTTGAGGACCACACTCTGTTTTATTTGTGGCTGAATCCTCAGTGCCTAGAACAGTGCCTGACCAGTAGTGGGCCCTCGGCACACAGGTTGAAGAGAGAATTAATCAATTATTGGGGGTGCAGAGGGGATTCTTGTCCTTGAAGCATTCCTGGTCTCTGACAGGCAGTTTCCAGGACCACTTATAATACTGTTTCTCTGCTAGGACAATGCGTGAGAGAAGGTGGGTGAAGCAGAGAGACAGTGAGGAAAGAGCAGAGCTGAAAATTTCCCTGCAGGTCATTCTGATGTCCCCGCTCCCTTTCCAAAATGACTTCAGGAGGAAAAAAATACATATATGAGGCAGTAAAAGTATAAAGGGAGCTCCAGATACACTAAGGTGAATGTGTCCCGAATACCTTTAAATATTGTACACCGAGATGCATAAAATAATGATTAAAGAAAGCCCTCGAGTCGCATAAAGCAGTAGTCATTCTAGAAATGAGTCAAGAGAGTTCAGGGCCCAGTAGGTTCCCCTCACCCCACAGGTTCCTCCTAGTGGAGAGATCAGAAAAATACAGGAACAGAAAAGCTAGAGGGAAGAGCGTGGCCTTCTCTTTCATTCCCCCTGTCATCCAAACAGAATGCTCAACCCATCTTGTGGTGGCATAGGGATAGAGTTCAGACTTGTAATGCTGAACTGCCCTCCAACACTGCACGTCTCAGATTTTTGCTGTCTTAAGAGATTCAAGGTGAGTTAAAGGAATCCTTTTTTTTTCCTGTCAAAAACTTATTCTTTGGGTGATGGAGAATGAACCAGATTAAGTATTGATTGATGACTTCGATGACTACTCAGATCTGCAAGAAGAGCAACTGCTTTATTCCTTTCTGTAAAAGTTACTTGAACCTGGCTTTTCAATCCCTAAGGCAGCATTCCTCAGCCTCGACACAGTTCATATCCTGGACTGGACAAGTCTTTGTTGTAGGGCGTTGTTCTGTGCACTGTGGGACGTTTAGCAGCATCCCTGACCTCTACCCACAAGATGCCAGTGGCACGCCCTAGCTGTGACAACCAAAAATGTCTCCAGATACTGTCAAGTATCCCCTGAGAAGCAAAATCACCCCTAGGTTGAGAACCATGATCCTAAGGCCCTACCACCCTACCACCCCACCAAAAAAGAAACATGTATCCCAACCACACAGGAAAGAACCTAGTCCTAAGAGGAAATAAACGGCCTCTTGAATGCTGGTCCTTCTGACCACAAACTTGGTGGCTGTCATGGAAGTGGTACAATTAAAGGGTCAGGAGACCCCAGGTCTCATAGTTGACAGCAGTTACAGAAGATGGACTATATGGGTTCAATCCATGGAAAGCACACAGCCAAATCCCTGGGGCAATGCCACAAAATATACTTGGACATCTCCTCTTTCTTCCCACTCCCAGGACTTAGGAGGATTCTGGCACCCACTTGCATCCTCTTAGGAAAGAGCATATTCAGATTCAGAATACTGTGAAATGTCCCTAACATCTTATACATATTTTTAAGTATAAAGCCTATATCATTATTTTCTAACTATAAAAGTAATACATATTGACTTCTTAATTGGAAAATTCCAAAAAGTGAGGAAGAAAAACAAAGAAAGCTCCACTCTCTACAGTAATCTCTCCACAGTAATCCCACCACTCAAAGGCAATTTGGGTCTGATCTCCTTCCTCAGGGAGGAACATCATAGCAGAATTGGCATCTTATATGAGCTAAGTTCTCCTGACCTGCATTTTTAAGGGATTTGTAAGGGTGATGAAGTAATATTGAGACATCTTGGAAGTCTGTTTTCACAGCTTGTAACTGCTGCTCTTGTGGGGGTGGTGAACAACCTTACCTCAGCATGTAGGCCGTGGTGGGCAGAAGGACAGCAGAGCATCCGGCTGTTGCCATGGCAGTGATGCCTTCATCACTCACTTCTTCCAGGTGACTGATTGCCTGGGCTCCCAGTTCTGCCCCAAGCTAAGCAGAATGGGCAGAGAGAGGGGTTTCACCAACAGCACCAACAAATCAATGAAGTGTCATAAAATAGTTTTTCCTACAAAAATAAATAGCACTCCATCATTAAGATTTCTTGCCAACTACCTCTCATGAGCACCAGCCCTCAAATGGGTAAAGGGTTTGTGGACATTCATTTGAAAATTAGCTAGTGCACTACTTCAAACACTATTCTTAAACCCGCACTGAGATCTTCAGATATTTGCTAAAAAAAGAAAGTTTTATGACCCTTATGAATCCAAATAAAATGCTGAGTAATACTAGTAGTATAGCATCATAAAAACATGAGAAAGAAAAGTATCCTGCAATGACACTGCACCCAGGGAAAACAAAAAACAAACTTCAGAAATGTGACATGCAGTCAAATAAAAATTATTAATGAGAAAAAAAGACAAATGGAACCGTTCATCTAATTTGAGATTATCACTTGAACTTGATTTTTCTCCAGATGAAAAGTTTGGGCTAGATTGTTAGAAGACAACCAAGAAGATGTAAGGCTATGATAATAACGCATTGAAGTGGAAACACACATTAAACTGGATTTCTTCTTAACTTGACAAATTTTCACACACACACAAAGTACCCAAGGCTGATAGGTGATCTGTTGTGCATTCCGAGGAAAGGAAAGAAGACTGATTTTTGACATTACCCAGTGACCCAGGGAGGCTGCAATGCCCCCACCAGGCTAGGAAAGAGGGGGGCCCCTGTGGGCAGCTGGCTCAGGTGGAAGGGCATCATGACTGGGTTCTGGGGACTCCGTAGGACAGGACAGACGATGCTCACCAGTGGGAGTTTCTTTTTGATCTTAGAGTGATCCTCACTTTTCCAAATTTGATTTGCTCATCTTCAGTATTGACCTCTATTGATTTAATTCACCAATCATTCTCTATGGCCCAAAGGATATCATTGACTACCCAGTTCACATTCATTGAACAAACATTTGACAAATATTTACTTGCCACAGACCATTGATGTGCCAGGCACTGTGCTAACCTGCAGAGAATAGGACTGTGTAAGAAGATGTGGGTGCAGCCCTCAGTGTGTTCACAGTCCAGTAGGGATCACAGAGGCAATTGTAATACAGTGGAATAAGGACCAGGAGGGACTATAATCCAGTCTTGGAGACATTTGGGGAGGATTCCAGAGAAGTGGTTGCTAAGAAGAAACATGGAGGAGGGTCAGAGTTAGCCATGCAAAGGGAAGAATTCAAATGGGAGAAGCAGCAGGTACAGAACTGTATGGGGTATTAGGTCACCAAAAGTAGTTTACTGTGAATGGTTCACAGTAAAGATGGTGGAGGAGGGAAGAGAGAGGAAGGCTGAGAGGCAAGCAAGGACTAGATCCTGGTAAGCCTACGCGTACAGCGTTTAGAACCCATCCTAAGAGCAACAGTAAGCCTTCAAGTGGTTTTAAGCAATGATGAGGAAGGATGAGATGCACTGTGGGACTGGAATAGAGGAGCAGATGACAGTGGAGGCAAGCCTGGGGGCGAGGAGAAGAGGTGTGGCAGGAACCCAGGTCATAGCCAGAGGTGGTCGCCATGAGGCAGTGTGGTGAAGAGAAGTGGACCTAGAGATGTTGAGGAGGAGAACTGGGAGGACTTGCTGGTTGGTTGGAATGTGGTAGGTGAGGGGGTGGGAGGAGTCAAAACTATGTCCAGGGTTTGGACGTAGGCAATAGACAGATAATGTTGTTGTTCACTGGGGTAGGAAACCCAGGACAAGATCTGGACATGATATTAGATAACAATGGACATGTGGTTGTCGAGTCACATGTGGAGTATCTCCATCTATATGTATGCCCCCAGCGAAGTTGTTTGTTTAGCTGCAGGGCTTAGAGGAAAGACAGTCAGACTCCCAACCGTAGGAATTTCGTGCGTCTTACTCACTGCTGAATTCTCAGTGCCTAGAACAGTGCCTGGGACATGGTAGGCACTCAAATGTTTCTAGACAGCATGAATGTATGAATCTGGGAAAGACATGTAGATCTGAAAATCATCCTGTGGCTATTAATGGTGTGCTCCACTAAAATTCACCTGGATGCTGCATCAGAAAGACCCTAGAACCAGCATGTGAAATTAATAGACTGTGCTAGGGTAGCTTTGTGTGCTAATCAAAACAGGTTGTGAATTTAGTACGTGAGATCACAAAGGTTCTTCCTTTTCTACTTATCACCAGGAGGTGACAGTAAAAGTAAATGGTCAGCAGAAAAGTCAGGGAGTCCAAGGCTCAACTGGGCCAAACCGCACATTGTTCAAATTTCTCCATTCTCTATCTTTTCAGAAGGCTTCGTCTGAACAAATCAATTAAGCTTTCCATAGCACGACTGTTGACAAAGGAAAAGCAAAAGATCAGAAGTACCTCAGCAGCCTTCATTGGGTGGAGTTCATCCCCATGGAAGTTGATCTGCAACCCTATATCTTTGCCATTTTGGAGAATCCTTCTGGTGGAATCCAGATCAAAGACGCCCTTCTCACAGAATACATCTATACTGTCAACGTGTATTTCCCCACTCCTGCCAAGTTCCTTCAGCTTTGGGAGGTGGTTACTGATGATGTCATCAGTGGCTTCGGTAGCAGTTTTTCCTCTGAGGGAAGACAATGAGGTTACCATGGGCAAGTTTAAAAAAAAAGAATCAGACAAAGGGTTTTTTGACACCTGGGGAACCTGAGAAACTATGGTTAAATGACCCCGAGCCTCAGAAAGGTAAGGTAAAGAAAGAATCAAAGCTTTAACTCGGGAATCAACAACTGGGACAAGCCTACAGAGAAGAGGTGCTGATCAGACTTCTGTAGTCATAGACCATATACTCGGAGACTCTGGCTCGCCCATTCTGGCACATTCATGCCAGCCAGGCCACCTGGCTGAAAAACTGAATCCTCATATCAAGGGCACTTAGAGGACATCCTGGATGCTTCCCTGACAACCCAATTGTGGGCCCCTTATCTGGGCCCCAGCTATCACCCTAACTTTTTCTTCCTCCACACTATTCCTAGAAGCACCTGCCTCAGGCTTTCTGTCTTACATCTGGGGACGGGGGGGAAGAGGACAGTAGAAGACCCTGAAATGCCTTCTAAGATTCTGGGTAGTTAAATACGAGAAAGGGCTGGGTCTTTGAACTCAGACAGACACAGAGCTCTGCCACTTGCTGGCTATGTAACTTTGGATATGTGATGTAGACGTCATCTGGCATATTCTAGGCCTCAGGCTTTATCACTGGGGATTGAGATCAGACCTCAGAGGCTCATTGGCAGATGGAAAAAATGTCTGTAAAACTTCAGCCTTGTATCTGGCATATGGAAGGTTCTCACTCAGCAAAAACCATCTGGGTGGGTAGATAGAAGTGGACAATGAGGAGGCAGGTACTTATACATGCTGTTTCTAATTCTCGAGACAACCATACAGAATAAAGGTGTTATTTAGCTGATTTACAGATGAACAAGTCACATTTAGAAGAGTTAAAGGATGCCCCCAAATCACCCAGCTGGAAGTAGCTAAGCTAAATTCAAGCCCAGGTCTGGAATCCCTCCAAAGCCTGAGACTTTTCTACCATGTCAGTCTTTCCTACTGAAAAAACAACAACAACAAAAAAAAAAAACCCAGACTACCATAGACAGGCAATCCCCAAAATCTTCATGCAGTTTCAAGCCTTAATAATTTCAGAAGTATAAATGCTAAAAACATACAACAAACATCATTTGAAATAGTATGTAGTTGTTTCTTTTCTACTTAGTTTTGTACATTTTTCACAATAATTTTCAATGTTAATTTTGTTAATTTTTAGTTGCTCTGATTAAAGATGGTAAACAAAATATTGACATTAAAAATTTTCAAAGTTCACAAAAAATGTAGACAAAATTTTAATTAATTTAAATGATTTAATTATTAATTCATTAATGTTTTCATTTATTAACTGGTTTAACTATTTGAATGATTGAATCATTTTGTAAGCATAAAACTGCACAAAGACTTTGGAGACATCTTGTGAATTTTCAAGTCCTTGATTTCTCTTGGATCTTTTAATTCTGGAACTGCAGGTCTTCTGGTCTAGTATTTCCAGGACAGATTAAGATGCAGATGCAGCAGGGGACAGAATTTTCTACAGCAAATTCATACAGGAGGAACTTTTTAGAGAAAGGGGAAAGCTGAAAAAACACTTACAACAATCGAACAAAAATGTCTGCTGCTAAATAAACAGATGAACAAAAATAAAAACCATTCCGGGTCATCTTGACTTCACGATTTGATCTACCTCCCACAGGGTGTTACTCTTAATTTCTAAAGTGCCTTTAAGCTCACTATCATGGAAAACTATTTAAATTCCTATCTGTCATTTTAAAGGATTTATTAAGGGGAATTTTTGTTAACCAAAAGAGGATTTTTGAACATTTCTTCTTCTTTCAACATTAAGGGACTTGCCAACAAGTGAGTCTGGTGGAAACAGCCTTCTTAAAGCCATGAGTGTAAGGTGACTGACCATTAGACTCAGAACACCTTTCCAAAGGCTCTCCTGGTCTCTCTGCAAGAGCTAAAGTGCTAGTGCCCCCTCACCCACTGGAGAACACAGCCCCCACTTAGGTGCCACATGACCCCTTCTTGTCCTCAACACCCCGAGTTAAACCCCGGTCCCTTCCACTGAGGTTACTTTGGCACTGAGTGAGCCCCGCAGTAAGTGGCGGAGATGCCGATGTCCAGCTCCCGCCGGGCTCGCTCAATCACACGCAGCATCTTGAGCTCCGTGTCCAGGCTGAGACCGTAGCCACTCTTGCACTCCACCAGCGTGGTCCCCGCCCTCATCATGCACTGAAGCCGCTGCTGGAGGGAAATGAACAGCTCCTCCTCTGAGGCCTGGCGCGTGTGCTCCACTGTGAAGTTGATGCCTCCTCCAGCCTGGTGGATTTCCATGTATGTGGCTCCTGCCAACTGAACACACCACTCACATTTAGGCCTGGAAAATGCAGGGAGGCTGCAGGCAGGGGTGATATTCAAAACGATTAGCAATCGATATGGCACGGGTACCAATGGATCACAAAGAATGGTAGGGCTTATGGTTCTGGAAGTCCCTACTCTGCCAGGAAGTGAGGAATTGGGAGGCGGTGCCAGGAAGGGCACGGGGTGGCAGAGATGCGGTGGAGACTTGGGGTCTCAGGGTAGTGACAGTTTACTAACAGGTACAGAAGTATTTCAGTATTTTAATGACTCAGCCAGCCCCTGTGTATACCAGCTAATCTTAGCCTACCCCTCAGCACCTATGAGAAAGCAAAGCTTAGCTGATTAGGGAATCCCGCTGCAGGTATTCAAGTCTCCACTCAGAGATCCAAGGTCTTTCCACGCCTCAGTATTTGGCCACTAGTTTCAGGCCTGACCTTTGTCACTCAAGCAAATAAAAAGGCTTCTTCTGGATGCCACCATTCCTGTTACTCCGGGCAGCAGGGAGTGTGCCGGAAAGTGTGCCGGAAAGTGTGCCAACCTGGGGGCTCCCTTAGTCATACCCTTCCCTTCTGTTCTTAATTCTGTCGTGTTCAACTGACTGCAAACTCGAGCTTTTGAGGAGTTTCAAAGGTTTTATAATACATGATCTTCAATGGTTTCTTGTTCAAAAAAAAAAAACTTGATGGGTTCAGCCTTTTCTGCATCACTATCTGCATCATAGAATGAGAGAATTGGACAGCAAATCTCTAAGGCTGATTTTTGGCTCTGAAATTCTGTGATTTAATAAAGTCTTAAAGACAGCTCTAGTTCATTGAGAAAGGTAAACAATATCCAAAGAAACTTTTTCTTTTTCTGAAATAATCCAGTTTAGCTGTTAGGATGTACAGCTTTTTAAAAAACAATGTAAAGAAAAGATACGGAGGAAACTTAAGTGTATATTACTAAGTAAAGGATATGATCTGAAAAGGCTACATACTGTATGATTCCAACTATATGACAGTCTGGGAAAAGCAAAACTATGGGGACAGTAAAAAGATCAGTTGTTGCCAGGGGTTGGGGAAGGGAGGGATAACTAGCTGAGCACGGAGGATTTTTAGGGCAGTAAAATTACTCTGTATGATACTATAGTGGTGGATACATGTCATTATACATTTGTCCAAACCCAGAGAATGCACAACACCAAGAATGAACAGTAACAAAAACTACAGACTCGGTGATAATGATGTGTCAATGCAGGTTCATCCATGGTAACAAATGTACCCCTCTGGTCAGGGATGTTGAAAATGGAGGAGGCTGTGTTTGGGGGTTGGGGAGACATGGGGGTTGGGGAGAGGGCAGCGATATATAGGAAATCTTGTACCTTCCATTCAATTTTACTGTGAGCCTAAAACTGCTCTAAAAAATAGTCTACTAAAAACAAACAAACAATGTGAAAATGGCTCCACAGAGATTTGAGGGTTGACTATGCTAACTCATGGCTGACAAAGACTGCAATTTATGTTTCTTAATGTTTCACTTTTCTGGAAAAAAATGGGAATATAAAACTTATTTTATTTTAGGGATTAGTAATATATTTTTTCATGTTTGACCTCAATGGTGATTTTCAAACTGTTTCCTGGAGCCCCTTCAAAGGCTACCAGGGGATGTCCAGGGGGAAAGGAAAGAGAGGAGAAATTAGTGAGCAAAGCAGGTCAACTTGATTTTAAAAGGATTCTGCAGCTAAAACATTTTGATAACTATTATACTTAAAATGACTGCTAGCCTTGTGCACAGTATAAAGATTTCGTACCAAGTTATAAATTAGTTAATTTTGTTGTAATTTATTTTTCATAGTCCACGCCAGTAAAAATATCCATTAAAAAGACATCTAGACATATGTTGTAAAGCCAAAAGCTTACAAGCTCTTTAGAAAAAACCTTGTCTGTATTTGTGCTTTATTTTGATTTGCCATCATTTATTGTAGTTACCTTCATTGCAAACTCATGAACTCTTTCACCAGCCCATACTGGATGTGTGTGTGCATCCACTAAACCTGTAATCATAAATTAAATCATTTTAAAAGTTAAGAAATAGAAAGCACTTAGATAGCAGGCAGACTATACCATACGGCTCTTGGGAAAGCATGACGGTGGTCAGCGATCTTGGAGGAGGGTGGAGGAGGGAGCTTTGCTGCCTGGCTGGTGTACAAGGCTCTAACGGAGGATGGTGACTCAACACGATGAAAATATCCCCTAAAGAAATACAGCTCCTTTTGCCCAATAAATCCATGCTCACCAAGCAAACTTTTAAAACAGGGTGTCAAATCTGTAAGTTGAACAAAATTGAGGACTATCAGCAAGGAATAATCTGAGTGTGAAAAAGAATAATATAATCCCTATCCTGAACTTCGAGAAATATGAAACCAGAAAGATGAGTCTTTCTGTGAGAAAGAAATATATTTTAATTAAAGAGAAGCCATAATGCAATCACTCAGAACTTTTGTTTATCCAAGTACAATTCAGTAAAGTATATCCTTCCAGAACATTCAAAATACTTTATGGATTAAATGGCTTACTAGTGGTTCTGATTGGGATAAAATCAAAAGTCTCCATTCGGACTGCTTTCTCTACTATATTCTGTTTTTTCTCATGAGGTTTCATCCTGCCTTTCTCTCCTGACCCCCAAGAGCCAGAAGGTAAGACACTCTGTCAGCTGTACACAACACACAATTTAAAAGTATAAATCCTGGCCTCTGTGTTTGCACAGAACTCAAAATTTGTGAAACTGGTTTCAGATGATCACATGAAGCCATAAAACACAGATAATGTAGGACATAATGGTTAATAAACTGATTCTGTTGTCAATCTCTGAAGATACAAATGAACTTCAGTGAAATCTTTCAAGTTTCTTGGTTTTGTTTTTTCTGCCTAGAGATGAGTCCTTTGTTTCACACTCTCTACACATTTAGAGTATATTCTGGAATTAGAGACAGCAGGTTGCCCTGTTTGCCTCCCTTGTGCAATGGATTAACAAAGTTCTTCCAGTGGCTTTTGAACTTAAACTCAACACAACTAGTTTCTCTTCAGCATGTGCATGGGAAGAGATGGAGTGAATAAATGGGTCTGCTTTTCAGCTTGCCCTTTACCTGTTTAGCAGTCTTCAGTAAGATATTCCACCCCTAAACATCAGTGTTCTGATCTGTAATGTGCAGATAATGATACCTTCCAGGGCAATTATAAGGATTCAACACGAAAATGTATTTGTAAAGCAGCTAAACATTTAATAGTAGAGATTCAATAAATAATTCAAAAATTATTATATTTTAATATTATTGGGAGATCCTATTTAAAACAAGCTACTACTCTTCCTCTTTACCTTACTAAAACACCTTTCAGGGCTTTACTGAAAAAGAGGTTAATACCTGGCAAGATGCATTTCCCAGAACAGTCAATTCTTTCTTCAAACGTTTCTCCCGAAAACTGTTTTTGGATAGCATCAGCAGGACCAATGGCTTTTATGAGCCCGTCTCTGAAGAAAAATCAAGAAATTATCACTAAATCAGGGGGAAATATTGTGAGAAATTTGACCAATGATTTTAAAATATGTTATCAATGCCTTTTGGTGTCAGTCAATATTTATTGTATTTCCTTCTTGAGTTTGTCTTTGGAAAAGTGACTCTAGCTACATGCAAAGCAAGAAGTCAAATCACGTGTAGCAGAGATTGTCAGTTGCTCCCCAAGATCAATGGTCCCTTTTCCCACAGTGCTGAATTCCTAAATTTTAGCTTGAGTCATGACCACTCAGAATAAAGACTACATTTCCGAGTCTCCCATCAGCCAGGCGTGGCCATGTGACTGAGTTCTAGCCAGTACAATTGCTTTCTCTTCCTACTTCCTACTGGCTGGAATATAGACACCACAATGAGAGATGGAGCAGCCACCTTGGATGATGGAGTGCTGGTCAGGAAGACGGTGGTGCTCAACAGAGCAGGATAGTAGGGTCTGGATCCTCAGAACTCCATGGAGTACAGCCATTAACCAGCCCTAGATTCCTACCTCCCTGCAATTCTGTTAACTGATTTTAACAAATGTTTGACAGTAACACTGGGAATCTTTTCTTTCTTTGCTAATTAAAAACAAATACACACACAGTCCCTTGAAGCTGGGCTCTTACACAACCTTAAGCAGTCTCAGATAAGGGGTGAGACTTGTGTAATCCTGGGGTGACAGGGCTCTCCAAATCAGATGGGCATCCAACCCCCATTCCCACTCTTTGGCTGTTCTTTTATTCTCAGAAGGTTACGTGAAAATAACAAAAAATGTCCTCTCTTCCTGGTGGCTGAATCTTAATTTACTATCTGAATATTTGGCAAACAGATGGAGAGGGTAGGAGAGGTGCTTTGTAAAAATTCAGATCTCAGAACTCCACCCACAGAGATGCTGATTCAAAAGTCCTGGGGATAGGAAGCAGGGGATGATGAGGATTGGATGAAGGTGGTCAAAAAGTACAAACTTCCAGTTATAAGATAAGTAAGTACTAAGGCGCTAATGTACAGCATGATAAATATAATTAACACTGCTGTATGTTATATATGAAAATTGTTTAGAGACTAAGTCCTAAGAGTTCTCATCACGTGGAAAAAGCTTTTTTCTATTTCTTTGACTTTGTATCTATATGAGATGATGGATGATCACTATACTTATTGTAGTAATCACTTCATGTACAAATCATTATGCTGTATACCTTAAACTTACACAGTGCTGTATGCCAATTATAGCTCAATAAAACTTGAAGAAAAAAGATCTGGGGATAGGGGGTCATGTTGAGGGGTGGGCGGGAAACAGATGTCTGTCTTTTTAAAAGATCTTAAGCCATCTGAGGCAGGTTACCACGGTCTGCACTTCAAGAAGCACCGGAGAGTACCCTGACCCCTTCTGATTGCTGGACAATTATCTTTTATAAGCAGAGGCAGGATCCTGATGTGTCCCAGTGGGATGTGCAGCTCGAGGACGTTTTTTTCAACTGAATGACAACCCTGAGTGCTCAAACACGTTAGCAACAGGCACCTAAAAGGCAGGCGTGCCAATCAATGTCTCCTTGGGTGTGGAAAGCCGTTACCTCTTTCCCCTGCGACAGCTCAAACGTTAGAGAAAAAGCGCCAAGCCAGGTCTTGGCTGACAGGTAACCGTCCCCCCTCCCCTCCCCCCTCCAGGACGACCCAGAGCGCCCGCAGCCACAGAGCACGAGGCCACTTACGTGCCCACCACTAGGCTGGCGCCCTCCAGCACCGCCAGGCTGCGCAGCGCGTCCCGGGCCAGGAAGCGCTCGCCGCGGGCGCACACAAGCACCACTTGCCGAGCATTCTCCAGCAGGAGGCGGTGGCCGCTCGCCATGTTGCAGCGCGCCGCGGGTCTCGTCCAGGCTGCAGAGCTGGGACAGAGGGCCTGCGGAGGAGGGGGCAGGTCCGCAGGCTGCACCGCCCTGGCCTGGGAGGGCGGAGCGAGGGCGGGGGCTGAGCTTCCTGACCTCAAGGGATTCGCGCAGCTGCAATACAAGTATCAAAGAGAATGATGATTAGTAATAAATGTTATAATGGAATTTCCTCTTTCCTGGTCGCTTTGTCACGTTCTGGGTAAATGTAGTAGAGATTACTGTCCCTACTTTACAAATAAGGAAACTGCAGGTCGGTGGCGGGGAGAAAGGTGGGCTGTGACAATCACGTGACCATGTGGAAGAGAGTCACCGAGGGCACCGGGAGGTGACAGTCAAGGGAAACCTGGTAGAGGCAGGTGTCAGAACCTGGGACAGAACCCCAGGAGGGGACACAGTGGGGAGAAACCTGTCCAACAGGCGCAAGGGCCGCCCCCTAGCGGGAACCTAGGGAAGCGGGAGGAGAGGGATGAGGTGGGGGTGTTATCCCTGGGTCCGCGCGGCCTGCGAGCACTGTGGCGGGTGCCTCGCACTTTTCAGTTGGCCAGCTCCGCTCCCGGATGCACTACCAGATGGTCCCCAAGATGAAGGGGACCAGAGCAGGGGAGGATAGAGCCAAGACTAGAGAATAGGTTGGCGCCTTCGCCCATCTTCCCTTATGCCTTCCTGAAGGATAAGGTGAAGGGATCTTGGATCCAAACTCGTTAAGGTAAAATTGGTTTCAGCTCAGTATCCCCCACCCCAACTGTATCTGGTGGGAAAGACCCTCAATTAGCCACCAAGGTTGGAGACTGAATCAAACTTATTTAAGGAAGATGGTCTGTGATTCTTACCCACAATTCTTCCCACCTGTCAGTTACTGAGAATACACTGGCTGGCACCCAGTTTGGTTTTGGGTTTCTCAAATATTTTATTTTGTTTATACACTTTTTATTAGAAGCTCCGTGTTAGGCCTTGTGGGACATACAAAGATAGGAAGGCATTCTTCCTGCCTAGCAAAGACTTTACAGTCAAAAGGAAGACACTTTATGGACAATGATAACAAACTGTAAGAGAAGGCCAAGGCCAGCAAAACCGCAAAATATGTCAATTTTGGGTCATTTTAAAGCCATTTAGAAATGAAGAACAGAAAGCCAAAACTCCCTTTGATGAACACAATAAACAAGAATATACTTTGGCTATATATTATGGCCATAAAAAAGAGAGGTCAGTCAGGTAGAAAAGAGAGAGGAAAGAAAAAAAATTGGGAAATAATCCAATAGTGTGAGTAAAAGAGATCCTAAAGAAAAACAAACAAACAAATCCATAGACTACTCACAGCTCAGACATGCAGTCACAAAAAGATGTGTGTGCCTGTGTCTATCCACAGTTTAAAAAGAAAAGTATAATATATAGGGAGAAATAATAGAAGTAGAGACAGTGGAAAGTAGAAACATAAAGTCAGTAATTTATAGAGGAATAGTAAAACTTTGTTACAAAATTTCTCCTAAAGGGTTGAATCTGTTACATTTTGCAATTATAGGCATATTTGTAGATTTATGCACTTAAAGGTACAAAGGATGGGGTGAAATTGTAGGAAAAAAAGGCATTGTTCAATAAAGTTGCCTTAATCCCACTTTTGTTACTTATGGGCTATTTGACCGTGGGAAATTTACCTAATTTCCCAACGCCTCAGTTTTCTCATCCATCTTGTAGGGATTAACTGTTTCTATTTTATGAGCTTTAAATAAGACGAAATGGAAATCACTTAGCCCACTGTCTGGCTCTAAATAAGTAATAATAACAATTATTATTATCATTATTATTACTATTAATTATTATTATTATTACTATTAGTTTATTTTAATCCTGCTATTTGTCTCGCTGGGCAATTAGGTTAAAGATTAGATTTCAACCAATAGTACTAAGTTCCCTCCTGACTTCACAGAATGTACCATGTTCTTAAAGTTTATAAGCTCTTGATCAGAAAAGAAATTGTACCTTTCTTCATGGGGATTTATATTTGTGGGTGAATTGAGTGTATCCAAATATAGTCCAACATTGCCAATATAGACAACATTGCCTGAAAAACCCCTGCAAACAAGAAGTTTGCAGAAGCAAGAAAGATAATGGTCATTGTTAAATAATTACAGAGGGGTGAGAATAACATATTTTTCCTCAGAAATAACCAGCATCCCTGTAGCACTTCTTAGTTTACAAAGTACTTTTTCACATCACGGGACTCATGTTGGCTGATTTCTTTCCCCTACTCTTCCTTCCTTTTGACCTCCAGTTATTTTTTTTCAGTTTGCAAAAGGTAAAAAATGTCAACAGAAAAGCTCACACAGAATAACTAGCTTGACGCCAGCAGGGCCTAAAAGGTCAAGCCCAAAGTAATTTCCTCATCATCAAGGTCTGCTTCTGACCTAATCAAAAGAGGCAGATCACGGAGCAGGCCAAGGACCTAGTGGCTCCTGGCTTTTGGGTAAACAAAAAATTGCTAGCTCTGGTCTCTCCACGTTGTCCAAGGACACAGTTCACAGCCCTTTCTCCTAGTATTTGTCCAACTGGGTTGGAAAGAGGTGGGAAGAAATGGAAAGATTCTGAGAGAATCTATCTAAATCTTCATTTGCACATGGGAGACAAAGCTTTCTCTTTCGCATTGAGAGAATCTGCAAATCCAATTTCTTTGAGAGAGTTGTCAAGAAAAATCAAACGCAAACTGCTTTGAATAACATCTGCTGTATAACTGTTTGTGTGAATTTTATGTGGCGTTCGCCTAGGACTTCAGGTTTGGACATTATAACCCCATTCCTCTTTCTCCACTTCTATGAAGATTGGAACGTTAAGAATCTGCCCTAAGGAGGGTCAAGTTCCCCAGATTTGCACCAATATTGTGGTCAATTCCTCTCAAATGACCCAGTTTCAAGAACTTTAACTCAGGGTTTCATATGAAAGCTATTCTTTTGAAATGCTAGTGGCTCATCACAAGACAGAGTGGACCAGAAAGAGGACAGGTATGGATATCTACTTTGAAGAAAGTATAAGCAATTATGTCCCTATCAGCCTGTCATGAGGAGGCACACTGCATATATTACTTGTGCTTGGAAATTGCAACAAGGCTGTAAGAAAGGTAGAAGTAGCAGCTGAGGTGCAGAGTTGAATTGGATAGTACTATGAGAAAGAGCTGATAAGAGTCAGAGGCAAGATTCAAAACTACTTGCCTCCAAAGGCCAGGATCTTTTCAATAGTGCCAATCATGCTGCCCCTGCAATGACATGCATCAAAGGACCTGACTCAGTCTTTTATATAATACAGTGACCACATGTAATTGCATAATGTTAGAGGAATGCAAGCATTAATTAAACCAACCAGCAGCTGTTCACTTGGAAGAACAATATATTTTATGCCCATGTCCCCTTAGATGTCTAATAGAGATCTCAAACTGAACATGCTCCATACCGAGCCTTTGCTCTTGCCAACCACCCTCTCCCCCACAGCCTTCTCAGTCTCCATTGAAGTCAACTCCATCCTTTACTTCTGGGCTCTTTATCTCATACCTCACATCCAAACCATCAGCCAGTCATGTAATCTGTACTTTCCAAATATATCTAGAGTTGGACCACTTTCGTCACTTCCACTGCCTCCCAAAAGACCCCATTATCTCCTGCTTCCCAAAGGCTGTAGTCTCCCAACAGATCTCCTTAGTGGACCCTCTACCTCTTGTATAGTCTGTCCTCAGCTCAGCAGCCAGTGATTCATTTAATGATTTTTATTCCACTGAATACATGACCTACAGGGCCCTTGTTCTCCCTTTGACCTCAGCTACACTCTCCCCTTCTTTCACTGTGCTTAAGCTCCACTTGTCTGCCTGCTGGTCCTCTAACACACCAAGTATCTTCCCTCCTTAGATGCTTTGGTTACTGAACCAGGCTCCTTTGCCCGATGCACAGCAAGCCAAACGCTGAGGCACTGAGGTTTGCAGCAGAGAAAAGGTTTAGTCACATGGCAGCCAAGCGAGGAGGCCTGAGAACAAGCCTCTAATCCACCTCCCAGAAAGCGCAGGGCTTGGGATATTTATGGGATAAAGCTGAGATGCAGGGAATGTGGGGAAAGGTGTTTGGAGATAAGAAAAAGGTGAGGTCATTGTCCTTCTGCACAGG